TTGCCGTTACCACTGCATCATCTCGCTGCGTCTGGGCATTCTCACGAGACGGCGCCATCCCAGGCTCTGGATTGTGGAAGCAGGTCAACGCAAAGCTTAATGTTCCTCTGAACGCCATGATGCTGAGCATGGCTATCCAAATCCTGCTCGGTCTAATCTACTTCGGATCCTATGCCGCCTTCAGCGCCTTCAGCGGCTCTGCTGTTATCTTTTTGACCATTGCGTATGTCATGCCGATTGTAGCCTCATTGCTTGGCGGACGCAAGCACCTATCTGCCGGTTCATGGGACTTTGGTGTCATTGGTGTAATTTGCAACGTCATCTCTATAGGTGTGTCAGCTTCCAGAATCTCTGGAGGTATGTGGACTCTACTAACAACAATCTTCCGCAGCGTGGACCATGTTTGTCCTTCCCCTTTTCAGCTTCCCTTTTTTCAACCCTACCACCCTAGAAACGATGAACTACGGATCTGTTGTCTTCATTGGAGGTACTGTGGTCTCAGCGCTATGGTATTTCGTTTGGGGCCGCAAGAACTACAAGGGTCCACCTACGCAAGATGACGAGGTGCTACGACGGAGAAGCTCCATTATTGAGCAGTAGTTGGATTCAAGAATCGCTCCATACACTCCGAATCAATCTGCATTCAACAAGCGGGTCACAGAAAGCGGGCCTTACTGCCTGTCCATCTTCTTCAGCTCAAAATAATATTCAAGCCGCTTCGTAGCCGCCTCTATGTTTACCATGATTTAGTTAGTACTAATCATTCCTTTCATAAATAACGTAATTCTCCTACATGGCTGTCTCGAAGGTGCCGGAATTTGCTGCATGAATTCGAGAAGACGCAACACCTAGGAGGAGCTTCCACATCACGTTCACGCCTCGCATCCCGCACTATCTCTAATCTCAGACAGAATCTCGTCAGACACGTATTTCAATATGCTGCATTAATCCTTGACGTAGGAAAGGTCGCGCTGGTCCAGCGCTCATTATTTTGTCTGTAGCCCTGGACCAGCATCCATTCCAAATCAAGTTCAGATGAGACCAGGACCATTACCTAACACATCAAAGACAAGTGGTTCACAGATCAAGGCCATATAGATCTTGAGTAGCAGATGATAGCGACAGAGAGTAAGTAAGAATGCTCAATGACAATGAACACGCTTCGGAAGTGAAAGAGACGTTGTATATGTTTGGTCCCACGGACATAGCTCACTGCTCCCGCTAGCATTTCTGGGACAGGCGAGTTTGGGAAAAGACGGCAGTACTCACGCAGGCAGCTGTCATTGAATTTCAGTCCCGTATTCTGTCAACCACTTGTGTAAGATGGAGGTGATGGCACCTGCAATCCTGGCGAGCCGCATGCGTGTGGTACGCTTTCCATGCTGGGGAGCATCTTCGAGTTTCCTCAGAACTTGCTTTCCGTAGCAGCTTGCTAATTTTCGGCGGCATGGTACTCATGGCTTCGTCATTTACAACAATCCCATTCTTCGCGACCACCGAGGCGTCGCGCTTAACCCAGTGCAGTTTTGGACGGCTCGCATGACATGGAAAGGAGCTGCCGTCAACACCTTGCACTGTCTCATCGGCTGCACTCTGGCGATTTCACAACAAGCCATACGCAGCTGGGAATGGGACTGATCATCTTCCTCTCAAGTCTTGCTGACAGTCTCCTTGTTATGAAAGTGACAGAAGGGATCAGTTCTTCCATGGCTCTAGAGACAATCCGTCTTCACCAAGGCCGAGATGAACTACCTTGGAAAGCCGCTGTGAAGACGGCTACAGGAATGAGTCTGACCTCGATGCTGGCGATGGAGGTCGCCGAGAATGTTGTCCATCAGTCGCTGACGGGTGGTAACGTAAAGCTCGGAAGTTCGCGATTCTGGGTTGCTGCTGACGCTTCCCTCGTCGCTGGCTTCGTAACACCGCTTCCGTCCAATTACATTCGCTTGCGTACATACAAGAAAGCGAGAACAGGCGCTCCACCGAAGGGTTCAATAGGCATTCGAAATTTTCTTGATTCTTCTCGAGCAATTCGGCTGCGTTAAGTTATGGTAGATTGCAGGGTTGAAACGTTCTCGAAAGGCGCCTCTCCCACATTTTGGGTCGGGAAATCGCCGGCATATGTGCTTAAGACGAAGAGAATGTGGATGTACACATGCATCAAGTGCGATGCTGGAACGCGTAGATCACACTAGACATCGCTTTCTGTTCTAAAATTAGCTTGTTGATTCCGATGGAGAAATCCCGGGAACGAAGGTTACAAGCACACTGAGGAAGCCAACAGTCGTTAGCCTCGTCGGCAATAAATTCCGTTGATGGTGCTTGGCCTGGGAGGGGAGTGCAGTACGTGTTTTGATCCCGAGTCGAACGATGTGTCTGTTGGAGCCACTGACAGGGATTTGGAAGGCCTGAATCCAGGCCAGTGAGCGGTTTGTGCCTGTTTTGGCGGAATTGTTGTTCGTCCGAAAAGGGAAAGGTGAAATGCCCCACTAAAGGTTCTAAAAATGGGGTCGCTAGCGAATCGCAACTGTCAAAGCTTAGGTTTGTGCATGAGTGGTTTGTGCCGTTGCTTTCATCGGCCAAATGTGGCGGTTGTTTGTAGTCTTGGACTAATTTTTGGTATTTGATCCGCCGTTTTGATCTCACAGACCCTGACTCAACCTTAGTCGCCTACTACCACGATGCCACATGCTTCGACAACACACGCTGTCTGTCTGGTGACAGACCAGTTCACTCCTGTCGTGGCTAACTCTAGGGTACTGGTTCTCCTACGGAGGCTACATAGACTGTCGGAGAAGCAAGAGAGGTCCTGGTCACAGAAATTCTTCTACCTGACTCGACTTGTTCGCTTCTTTGCGATAGGTGAGCTGTGGTCATCGACGGCCGATGATCATATGCGAGACAAGTTCGTAGCGCTAGGTAGAGACAAGTGCGAGTATATTTACTTGCTGGCAAGAGCTGTGGGTGCGCGCAATGTGGTTGAAGCTGGGACGAGTTTTGGCGTCTCAACGATATACCTCGCGCTAGCTGTGGGACAGAACGTGCTGCTTCAGCAGGAGAGGGCCGCGGAGTCTAGTGTGATCACGGGAAAAGTTGTCGCGACGGAGAAGGAATCCTCCAAAGCAGAGAGAGCCAAGGGGCACTGGAGGGAGGCCGGGGAGGAAGTGGAACCATGGATTGAAATGCGAGAGGGAAACTTGCTCGAGACGTTGAAGGTTGAAGAAGGCATGCCTAGGGAGATTGATTTGGTGCTCCTCGACAGTGAGTTTCTCTTGAGACTGCTTCGTCAGTCTTGGCCAAATTGCTGAAGCCGATAGTCTGGACTCCTCTAGCACTCCCTACCCTCCAGCTTCTCCAGCCACGACTGAAGCATGGTGCTATTGTAATCACGGACAATCTGAGCATGGCAAAGATGTTGTATAAAGATTTCCTTGCGTACATTCGAAACCCCGAGAACGGGTTCAAGACCCTGACAGTACCATTCAGCGGAGGATTGGAATTATCGGTGTATTTACCGGAGCACTGAGATTGGAAACTCTGGAGAGACGTTCCGAACCCGGAGGTCATTTATCCAGGCGATGAATTGCTGAACGGTAGAAAAGTTTCATCCGTGTCGGACCCAACTCTGTGCATGCCCCTCTTTTCGACTACGACATTGAAATCGCAACGGCAGATCTACTAAAGTAGGGGCGTTATCACCCATTTCGTCCTCTTTGGGATTTTCTATTCCCTGGGACCCTGGATGCTCCATGATTACGTCACGCTTGCGATTGCTCAGACATATTTAAACTCCAAATCCTTTCATCCTTTCATCTTCGCCCTAGGTTAGCTTACGTTGATTTTCACCAAATATCCGAACAGTATGGATAACGACTTGGACGCTAGCAAAGGCAGGCTCTTAGTATGATCAAATGTACAGTTCTGAGAAAACTGCTCACTCTCGCCAGATCTTTGCCAATCTTTCGGTGTGCCTTGCCTTAGCCATGATATTGGCTCTCCAGTGGTGCTTTTATGGTTCCATTCCTGAATCGGAGATCGAAGAGATTTGGGCGAAATTGGTTGTTAAAACGTCGGAAACATTGTTAGCAACTGCGTTATTGAAGGAAACGCTCGACGAGTACTTTATGTTGACCTTCGTAGGACTCTTAGCCGGAAATGTCTGGGCATGGATGGGTCAAGGTAGAGTCAAATGGGCCGAGCAGCGACTCTCAGCTTGGAGTCTACGGGGCCGTTACGTGACAGCAATGTCGCTGTCGCTGGCGTACAACATGGTCATGTTCATTAACACACTCCAAGCTTCCCGGCACAACAGAAGATCGATGCCTTTGCTAGCCTTCGAATTCGCAACCCTTACGCTCTTAACGATGTCATCAATGGCTCACTACGGGCTTTGTCTTATGGAATCATATATCGTGCAACGGGGTGTTGATAAATCTCATGAGCATGGAGGAGACGCAACATGGCAAGAAGCCGATCGAAGGTCCGCGGAAAGCGTGTCCGGAGCGCGGGATGCCAAAGTGAAGGTGACTTTTTTCGTGGATTTGGCGATAGGTAAGTCCGCGGGGTTTCCTCGAAAAAAGTATTTACAACGTCTTTTTTTTCTTTTAGGTGTTTATCAAATCAAAACATAAGTTGCAAAACTGAATGCTAACCGAGTCTCAACCAGACACGATAGCGCTTCTCCTCAGCTTCATCTATATTTTCTTCTGGTCTACGACCTACGCCTCTGCAGTCCATATCATCCGCAATGTCTTCACCACTACGCTAAAATTCTGCAACGCGTGGGTGTTGTGCTCCATCAGAAACAAATCGCAAAAATGATTGAAGAAAACTTTGCTGAGCCCACAAAAATGCAAGCAGGGACAGCGGAGATTTGTGTCATTTGTCGCTTGGAGGTGAGAACAGGGCAGGATAAAAAGGTTTTACAAACGGATCAAACCCAACGCGCTTGGGGACATGCTGCTTTGTGCGGAACGGCTCCTGACTACCCCAGGTATTCACAGCCAAAGTGTTTGCCCTGTGGACATAGGTTTCATTCACAATGTCTGCAATTTTGGCTCGAACAACAACCTAGATGCCCAGTCTGTCGACGGCACGTGAAGATTCGGGCAGGGATGCTTGTTTTTATTGGCACGATTTAACGCAGCATGAGTAGTCCCCGGCGTGCATCATAATCCATGTGGTGCTGCTGGGAAGACATCGTTTCCAGAGCTGAGGATGCTGAGGCCCCGAGGGGCCGGAATCTTGTAGGGCGTGCATTATCCTGAACACAAGAGATGGGGGCTGGTGGCCTCGGTAATGCATGTCCAGGGAGCTACTACTCGATTACTGGATGCCCGGTGCTGGGTTGGTGACGACAGCAATAAGTTGAGATTATCATGTCGTCAGGGTAGATACTCACTCTACAGCTCGGATACTACAGTGGCGTTACTGTACTGTACCTCCCAACATGATGGAACATGCAACTGAAGCACTCGGTGCGTTGCATTAAGGGAAAAATTCAAGGACCAACCTTGCCCCAGCAGCATTCCCAGTCAATATGCAGATCATTTCCTAGACTGTGTGTTCAGGCGAGATTTGTGCGTGATAACAGGAGAGGTCTCAAGCTCCCGTTTTGAGTGTGAAGCTGACCACTAAACGGACTCGCGAAATCTGCTTTTTAATTTGATGCGATTCGACTATGTAGAAAACATGGGGTCGCGGTGGATCTACCCCACACACCCCTTCCGATGACTGATTTGGCGGTAGCGGCTCCCTTCTTCCGGATACCAGCTTTTGGTTTCGGGCCAATCATGGACAAAATTGGCTCAAGACTACGGGGCTGCGGCATTTGTGCGCAAACGCCTCACGCGATAGCTGACCCTGGAGCGTGGCATCTTTATGAAGCGCGACTTTCTGTGATGTACTCGAATTTGCCCTGTTCTTAGTCCTTCTTGCTACTGCGACAAGTACCAGCGGTTCAGCTCCAAAATAGCTAACTCAGCTTGATCAATCTTCAACGTCGGTGAAAGCAGCGGACACTGCGGGTGAACGATTGGTCTGAAACGCTGACATTGGAGGCCGTAATCCGACACAGCCCTTGAGATAGCGCATCATGCTCGTCTGGTATGCATGACTAAGTTACGTGTGAGCCAGTGAAGGTGGAACTTGAGATTTTTTCAACGGGAAGAGCAGGCGACATTGAGCACCTCCGGCTCTATCTTTAGCTGGTACGCTCAACTTTCACCATGACTTCGGAGTCTAGTGTCGGACGCGGGCCACAACCCGGTATTTTATGTCGGCGTTGATAGGTAGTAGCAACGATTCATAAATGGTACAGTACTGTATGGGAAGCAACGAGATTTAGTGCGTCCTCACTCCGAGAATATAAATCATCACGAAGCTGCCTCCCTTCGTCCCTGTTATTCCTGGCATTCACACCGCTGCTTCAACATTTCTCCAAGATAGACTGCGCTGATGCCTGGATTCCAATGGCGGGTCAAGTGCAAAATCAAAGAATCACATTCACCGACAACAATGGCGTCGTCGTCACGACCACAGTTGGGCATGACCAGTTCAATGGCCAATCGGATCCCGCCTTTGGAGAGACGGCTGATGGACATGCGATACCGACAACAATTGCGACGGCGAGCGATTCTGCAAGCACTGCGAATCAGACACCTTCGACGCTCGTGACGGCTACGAGTGTTTCGCATCCAGCCGATATCCCTACAGAATCCGAAGAAGTAACCGACACTTCTCCGTCACGCGTCGCTAGTGGATCAAACGGCGAGAACTCATCATGTCGTAGCCTATCATGCAACTCTGGCTTACAAGCCGCGATCGCCGTACCCGTGGTAATTAGCACCCTTTTTATCCTCGCCCTGACCTTTTTCTGTCTTCAACGCCGACGCAGGAGACACGCCATGGGACGGGTTCCTGCAAAACGAAGGGACCCTTCCAAGAAATGGTCTAGACATCTACGAATATTCTCGTTCGATGCCGAAGTACTCATGGGTGGCAGCTTCTCCATTGTACACGATGCCAATCCTAGCATTCACAGCATTGCCGAGGAGGTTGCATCTCCTCATCGAGATGACGTGTCCCCTTCTCAGCTGCGTTCAAATGTGCGCATGGCTACAAGTATGACATCCACAACGCCCGACCCATTCCGTCGGCATGACTTGACCGCTACGCCGCCCCCGCCCTATCCCGCCGTTGCCGGCGCATGCCTCACCGGGTGAGTGGCAATCGGAGCCACCCCAGCTGTCATCTCACACAATCTTTCCAGCGCCTCGAAAATTTCCACCCGCGCTCCGAGCAACACCTTCCACAACGACCCTCTCTGCTATTTCAGCCATATGGAAGGCACCTCTACGGTTTACGAGGATGCTGGATCCAGAGCGTCTAGCATCCGTAGAGTATGGCATGAGTCTCGACATGGCCCCCAGGATCATGGTCATGACGTTCGGACAGCCAGGGGGATGATCCCAAGCGTTTCTTGGCACTCGGGTCTTCACCACGCTGACTGGTGGATGACAAGAATCGAGCACAAAGGCCTCAAATAGTCGTCGTCAGCTCTGAACGCCATGTTTACATAGTTTCAATTCCAACGTTTCAGTGAGATGTATCAAAGACAGGGCAAGGTGCGCATTGGCAGAGTTTAGAACAATTAGACTTATGCCGTAAGACCTGGAATTTGAACGTGTTGCAGTGTTGGATATCTTATTGATCTATGAGGTTACATAGAATTACCTGTCGCCTCGGGAAAGACACTGACTTCGAGATCTGAGACACCAAATTGGCCTTGTGCCTACGCTCTACTTATTCTACCCTTACCTGATCAACTTATTGCACATTATCGGCTGAGCTTAACGCCGTCTGTAACGGGCCCTCCAATCATAGGTAAAACTGCCGATCAAGTTTCTGCGGTTAAGCGACGGGGCGACATCGATATCGCGGATCATCAAGCCGAATTTATTTGTAGTCATCATCCATCTCAATGTGCCTGGACGACCCAACGTGTCAAGAGCTCTCAAAAGACCCGGAATTGTTTGCCAAGAAACGCCGCTCACGCTTAAACCCAGGCCTATTCCCATCGCGTCTGAACATGCAGCCAGCGCCGGCATTATATTGAGACTAGCTTCAGCATGGGCAATCTAGATACTACATCCCTGATTGAACAGCCAACAGCCTTATAGAACAACCTCGCGAGCAGCTGGCTAGTATCCTGATGAAGCTATCGAAAAATTGTGTAAGGCCGCACTTTACAGCCGCCAATTAGAACAGTCAGACTCTCAAGAGGGTCAGAGCCGCCAGAATGACAGGCATAACGCTCACGATCTCTCCAAGACCTGCATAGGCGGGAGGGATGCGGACCTTAACGAAAGCCCCTCCAGCGAGCAGGATTGCAAACAAGTTGTAGATTGCTGACCACACGAAGTTGAAGGTGATTCTGCGGAATGGCCGCTTCGACAGAGTGAGAAGTGCGGGCACGCCGTCGAGCCCACCAAGCAAGACGACATCAGCGGTGCCTCGGGTCACGGCGGATGCAGCTCCGATCTGCACACCGACATTGGCTTGGGCGACGGCAACAGCGTCATTTGTTCCGTCGCCGCAGAACAATACGACTTTCTTGGAAGCCATCAGGGCCTGAACGTAACTCTGCTTTTGTGCCGGCGCGTGTCGCGACGCAACGTTCGAGATGGGAATGCCAACGGCTTGTGCGACATCATTGACGACTTTCGATGTGTCGCCGCTTACGATGTGGCACGCCAGGCCGCGCCTGTGGAGATCTGCAATGACACCGGCGGCTTCGGGGCGAATGTTGCTCTTGAGCCCGAAGACGGCTACGGGCTCCCTATCAACATCCACGCAAAGGACCGTCATACCCTGATCCACTAATGCGGAGATTTCAGGGCGACTCTCGATGTCAAGCCAGAAGGGGTTGCCTGCACGGACAACCCGCCCATTCCACACACCTCGAATCCCCGATCCAGGAGTGGATTCCAGCTCCTCGAGTTTGCAAGGCTTGCCGCCAGCTTTCTTTAGATCAGTCGCGACAGCCATAGAAACAGGATGCTGATTATCTTGGATGAGAGTCCTGGTGACAGAAATGATCTCGTCCTCAACGTATCCTGCGTCAGGAAAGGTTTGCGAGTGGACTACTTCTAGCTCTCCCGTGGTGATGGTCCCTGTCTTGTCGAAGACAACGTCGGTGATCTTGTGACCTCTTTCGATTGCATCAGCTTGCTTGATGATAATGCCTTGTCGGGCGGCGACGCCACCTGCAATAACGAGTACCATCGGTACTGCAAGACCGAGTGCACATGGGCAAGAAACAGCTAGAACAGCAATGGCGTAGGTGATCGACAAGCCAATAGCGCTGCCTCCATTCTCGCCACGCACCTTGAGGGCGACTATGACCCAGATGGCGAACACGATCAAGGAAACAATAATGACGCCTGGGATGAAGTAAGAGGCAATCTTGTCCGCAAGATCCTGAATGCGAGGCTTAGAAGCGAGAGCATTCTCCACCAAGCCTGCAATGTCCGTGATGCTGTTTTTGCCTGGCAGTCGGGTGAGACGGACAGTTAGGGTACCAGGACCATTAGTAGTCCCTGCGATCAGCTGGTCTCCTGTCGTCTTTGGGACAGGAATGCTCTCGCCCGTCAGCATCGACTCTGCGACGGCCATCGGCCAACTTGCCATCGGTTCCTGGAGGAGCTAAATGAATACCAGAAGCAGATGCTAGGATGGTCCTGGCACCCACACAAGTGGAGTCCTATCTGGTGCCGGGACGGGGCGTCCCTCTATATAGTGCTGTATAGCCGTTATTGCTCTGCTGCACTGTTGCACTGTTCGCAGTGCAGCAGTGCACCAGTGCAGGAATTCCCTTTCCTGGAAATCACGTGACCTGTCTTCTCACTTGTTCGGTTAACCTTCCTTGTATGGGCATGGCTGCGCCTGCCTCGGAGCTTGGCGTGACCTGTTGGTGACCCAGGTCGTAACAACAACTTGCTACTTTCTTCGCCCAGCCACGCTATACCAATGTTATCACCATGTACGGGCTTGTTAATGAGCCTAAGATGATCGACCTCCCACGATCCGCAGTCATCTCCTGGAATACCGCTGCAGTCTCTATCATTCGCGCCGCTGGTCTTGTCAAACCGTATCTGAGCTTTGGTGACGGCTTCCTAAAGCTTTCCGACTGGCACGGCGAGTTTCAAAACATCGACGAACAACTAATTTTCGACACCCATCAATACCAAATCTTTAACGCGAACCAGCTGCCTCTTAACTACTCGGCACGGATCGCACTCTCCTGCTCTGGCTACCAGGGTTTGCTCCTCGCGTCTAACAATCCATCCTCCGGCTGGGGACCCACTATGAACGGCGAGTGGTCGCAGGCGGAGACAGACTGCGCGCCACACCTGAACAACGTAGGTGTCGGGTCACGCTGGACAGGCACCTTGAACCTTGGTAACACAGGGCTTGAAACGAACGTCCTCACGCCACTGTGTCCCACTGCGCCGGACTGCAGCTGTGAAATGGCAAACGCGGATCCCAGCCAGTATAGCAATGAATATAGAAAGTTCCTGCGCATGTATGCTGAGGCTCAGATGGATAGTTTCGAGAAGGTCTGGGGTTGGTTTTACTGGACATGGAAAACGGAAAATGCGGTGCAGTGGAGCTGGCTGCTGGGTTTGCGTGCGGGGATCTTGCCTGAAAAGGTGTATGGGAGGGGTTTCCGTTGCGGAGACGTCGTGCCGGATTTTTGGGATCTGAGTAGTGGTACGTGACAAGAATTTTGGAGCTTGTGATGCTGGTGATCGTGATGGGGCTCTCGACGGTTTGGGAACCGTGGCGAGACAATGTTTGCTAGAGGTCAAGGTTGGGACTGCAGTTATCGAGTATGCAATCACAGCCATAGTTGCGATGATTCAACACCAACCATACAGCCTTCAAACATTTACGATGCCAAAAGGCGCTCAGCAATTGATGGTGATGTCGTTAATTCTACATAGACAAAGCGAAGCATCTTCCTCAAACATGTGAGGGTTGCAAGCTCCCACGCATACTTATCGCGACTTCTGGAAGCTTGCGTATATGTGCAAATAGGGGCATGGTCGCATATGCGACCAGAAGTCTTACGCATCCGCGGAGACGATTTAACCGAGAGCAAAAGTCTTCTTGCAGATCGGCCAAGATCTGTCCTGAAACCCACACTGGGGGATCACGGGCCGTTGAGAGTCTCAGCGTCGACCTTAAGAGACACTCTCAATTTCACGCTCCTGCTATCGGAAAAGCTCTTGTCTGAGGCAACCTGAAGCTATTTGCAGTATGGCAACAAGTTTTAATGTCTGGGACGTCAAATTTTGCTGTTTCAAGGTGTGCACTCAGCAGGTAGCTGGGACTTGTTGGTCAACTCTCCTATGCAGGACCGAAGCCAAAATGGTGGGTAAATTAGTCGCCCTACGCTGCCAAGCCAGGCTGTGCTTTCTTGGCCCTGCTCTGCTTGCCGTTCGAAATCTAGATTCGATATCTAGAAAAATGGCGCTTTTTTGGTGTGGCTACACCATCGACTACTTGCATTGAACCAGCGTTAACGAGTCACAGCGCAATTTTGACTCAATTCGCAGCAATGAGTTTCCTGCAGGTATATCTTCGCGGACAGCCTGGCGAAAGGCATGTCGACAAGTACAGTGTGTTAATAATCATGCGACACTTGGTAGATTTTTGTCAGACGCTGCTTGGAGCCTCCCACCCTCATACGGTTGAAGCACAAGAGGCTCTTGCGATCCATTATCTGCAGCTCAGACAGGATAAGATTTTGGTCGACCTGGACTCAAGCGCCGCACCAATGCCGGAGCGCAGGCTCAAGAGTGCTTTCTCTGAGAACCTGTTACCAACATCAGCAGGACCCGAACATTGCACCACTCAAACCCTGATCGAAGCTTCAAACGCAAAGAGCCTGTTGCCACAAAGGATCGACCTGGACGGAAATACAGAATCGGAGCAACCCAAAGCCGCGGAAGATCTGCTCAGGGTCACCGCTGCCGCATGTGAGAAACTTTTGGGTCCCGATCATCCCAGTACAGTCGAAGTACTGTGGATTGCGGCTATTCAGAACTCGAACATAGATACCGGAACCTTCAGAAGCAGGGCTTAGAACGGAAACGCTGTTGTGTGCCACGAACGTCGTTCTGATTTCCTCACTGTGGACACGGTTTACGAATTTTGAAGCATGTAGCAATAAGGATTCGAGCACATGCCGCCCGAGCCGCCATTTCCGATCGTGGATATATGGATGGTTAAAGCAGTTGGAGTCCAGCTCCTAAAACAGCACAGCAGCTAAACCATTGCCTTAAATTTGAGACCCCTACACCAACCGCAACTCCTTTCTCAGTCGCCTCATACATTCGAACTCCATCGGAGATCATCCTTCCATCGCTGGATGCCAGACTCTTTCTCTTCAAAAATTAAGACATGACCGCTTTTGGCCAACTCTCTTCGACAAGATGCGTCCGGTCGGTCAGCCACTCGGGGAAGCAAACCGGCAATTCGCCCAGATATTCTCGTTTATCTAGAGGACGTACATGGCGCTTAGAAAGGTCGGGACCATGCTCTACAAAGTCTACTAAGGACGCTTCAGCATGGCGGGACTATTCTGTGCGGACCTCCTATTCAAACCAGTAATCCTCTACTATAGCGTTTAGGATGGTGAGGTGTAGGAGTATACTTGATGCGAATACTGCAGCTTTGATCTTGCTGAGATCTTACGTGAACCAAGTGTGCTTTGCATACAGCGAATATCGGAACGAGGATAAGCAGGACTTTTAGGGCAATGCTGATAAAGTTGAGGATCGTATAAAGAAGCCAAAGTGTATCTGCCATGGCTGATGCGCTACAAGTTGTCAAAAGTGCTAAGAGTCGAAGCTGGGGCAGTTGTTTCCCTTTATACCGCTGGCGCTTCCAGGCCAGTACTGGCGCATATAAAGGTGAATGTATCCTTCGATGATTGTAAGGGTCAACGCCCGTTATATAGCACATTCATCGTGCAGTGACCAGCCAAGGCGCGACAGGCGTCTCCGTATTCTCGTGATTAAGGGTTCGCATTGCGGCTCCTGCCATGTTGACAGTGTGACAGGTCAACTGCTTGCTGCATGTCAAACCGAAACGTCTCGATCTCATTTGGGGCAGCTTGGTCGAGCGGACCAACAATTTGTCACTTCGTAATCAGCACACATAGCAAGCACAGACACATGAGTCTGAGTGGGCGGACAGGAATCGAGAGTGTCAATGCACCATCCCTTGGAACTCATGCAACCACCGTGCCCAATAACCACTGCGTCGCCTAACTTGTACACGCACGTGATCAAAGTGAGACCCGTTTTGCCCTGTGCGCGGAAGCTCACGAGCAAATTGTCGTCTACCTCATCACAAGAGAGCTTGCCTCCCACGTCGTAGTCCGATCATTTCGGCATCGAGCCAGGACAGGTACTGTTCCCCAAATTGACGAGTTGTCATGTCCTTATTACCTCTTCCATCATCCCACAAGGCCTTCGGATTCTCCTCGGCCGCTGTGTGCCAAATTCGAGACGCTGTTCGTCTCCACAGGTTATCCACGATGCCTTTCAGCAGATCCTCAACGTTACACCATGACCGTGAAGCCAGCACAAGTTCATAGCTAGTGATCGTATGTTGCAGGCAATCTAGGAACAAAAACAGACACTTGTTCTGCTGTTTGGCATCAAGCTCATGGTATAGATGATGCTTTAGATATTGCGAGAATGTCCAGACGGTCGTCTTTGTGGCGCAATCGATGGACATTAGGAAACCACCTCGAGTGGTGAACGTGGCGTGGGCCCAGCCGGACGGTATGAAGACGATGTTGGAGGAATTGAGCGTGTCAATCAGTCCATACTCAAGTCGAGGCATCAGACGTGCCAATTTCGCCTGATTCCTACATTCCGCCTGCATCAAGCGAAGATTGTGCGAAGACGGCGGGAAGAGGACGATTATCTTCTGACAATCGCCTAGAACCGCGGACTTACCATCCATACCGTAGTCTGCATACGTTAGTGGAGTATACCCAATGTCGAGAACACTCTACCTATGTGAAGATTGACATGTGAATATTGAGGGGTGACGTTGATCACCGGACAACGTTCGAGAGTGGTTGTTACATGTCGATGGAGCTCCGCACAGCTTCCGAATTTCTATCGGGACAATAACTCGGGGAAGTTGACGCCAATAATGCTGATTGGGTTCTGAGCGTCCGGGTGCACGAGCTGGGACAATGCCAACGATGCAACAGCCGCGGGTTGCTCTGACAGTTCTTCACGCTCAAATACCCGCGGATCAAGTCGTTGTCAGTTTGAGTAGTCTGCAAGAAAAGTAGATCTTACCTTTCTTGGGAAATCTCCAAACGTGGGCAAACACTTGATGGAAGGAAGGCGGCCCAGTCTGGCCCCAAATGCCATCAGCGGGCACGATTTGAGGCATTGCGAACCCGTTCTCTGCACAGAGTTTTTGCGCTGCTGGATCTGGCGCAGAAACCAGTGAAAGCCGACAAGAGCTTAAATAATCTGGCAGATGACGACTGAACGCTGGCTCTTGCTGAAGTTGATCTACGATGGTGTCCACTGCCGCCGAGCGGATTTCAGGCTCGTCAAGGACCACCAATCGACCGGATACATAAGGAATGTGGAAGTCTTGAACACCATAGGTCAGCCGCCCCCCAAATTCGCCGCGAAGATCCTACCTAGCTTTCGGAGGCGGTCTGCCCGAGCTACGAGGACATCATGGCGCTCAATTCGCGCTTGTATCTCAGCCTCCTTCAGTTTAGACAGCAGCTGTGGGATGCTACCCGTGTGACGAGTGAGAAAATCATAACCAAAAGTGGAGGCGAAGAGGGCGAAAGTCTCAAATGAGATATCGAGAACCTGGGCCCAATGATGAAGAACACCGCGTCGTGTCTGATTAGGTTGAAAGCAGCGTTGAACCGCGCTTTCAAAGTTGCGCTCGTATCGACGTGATCTGAGGCTGGATGACTTTAGCGTTCTTTCTAAGAGCTTAGCATCTTTCTGTCCGTCCATTACAGTATTGACTCGTTTTGTCGAATCGAGTACAGCAAAAGATGACTGGTTGCGTGGTTGCGTGGTTGTGTGGTTGTGTGGTTGTGTGGTTAGAAAAACACCACACCTAGCTCAGAACGAATTTTTGGAAACGCGTAATTACTCGAAGTCAACTAGTGAATCTACGTTATCTTAGGCCGTTATCACGATTGACGCGTCCAAAACGCGTGTTTTCGTGGTGATGGCGCCGAGATGGCCACAGGTAAACAATGGGCCCGAACACATCAACGAGCATGCCACATACCTCAAGGAAGCATGTAACCAACTGCAGGCAGCGGACAAAGGCAGAGCCAATCAGATACCATGGAACATAGTTCAACCTTACATCTCCTCCACTCTAGCGCTCATCGGCAAGGTGCTGCAACAACCTTCGGTGGGTGAAGTTCTCCACCGAATCCAAGATGCCGCAAAGGACATCCGGACCATCCAAAAAGACATCACAGATGTCAAGGACTCCATCGGATCGGGGGGAACGCCACTCAACGCGGTCAAGTTCAGTGGAGTCAAGTCCACAACAGCATCCTGGGCGCAGGTAGCGGCCCAGGCCACAGGCTCCACGCTGCCACCTCCAGGGTCGACCCAACATGACACACACCCCTCCAGGACCTCGACGCCGGTCAGTACATACAAAGACCGAGTGATCACGATCAGGCTGAAAGATCGGAGCATAGCTCAGCGGTACCGAACGTACTCAGCCGTGGCGATCCGACAACACGTACAGACCTCCATACGCGAGAACAACAACACGAAATCCGTCAAGGTTATCGCCGTGCACCAGCTCAAGAGTGGCGACATCCAAATATACACCAGCACGACTCCCGAAGCCGAACGACTCACCAAACACGCAGGCTGGCTGAAAGGTCTTGGAGAACAAGCAGAACTCATTGTACCCACGTATGGAGTCATCGTCCATGGTGTGTCCACCAAATCCATCGACATCAAGGACCAAAATGCTGTCATCCAGCAAATGCTCGCCGACAACTACACGGTGATCCCTCGTGCGGGGATCTCGTACGTCGGATGGCTGACCAAAGAAGCTACCCTGAAACGTGCATCATCAATCGTCGTCGAATTTACAGATCCGGAAATGGCCAATGCTATCATCTACGCCGGAATGGCATGGGAAGGTCAGATTCATCAATGTCAGCTTTACGACCGTGCCTGCAGGATGAAACAGTGCTTCCGCTGCTACCACTACGGTCACATCGGCACTCAATGCAACGTTTCCCAAACATGCGGCTATTGTGCGGAGCAGCATGAGAGCAAACACTGTCGGCAAAAGAGTGTGGAAGGATTTTCCCCTCGCTGTACGGTGTGCAAAGATGCCCACACCGCATGGAGCAACGCCTGCCCTGCTAGAAAGAAGGAAAGGGAAAGAGTGGAACAAGCCAAACAGGCTCGGAGCATCTATTGGCATGTTCCGGCGAAAACGAGCACCACGCGACCAAGAACGGATCGCTCCATTAACGTCGAAAACTCCCAGAGGTCGGATCAATCTAGAGGACCGCGCCCAGCTTCGGACAACCAGGCAGGCATGACGATCCACGAGCCGGACCTACCCAACCTTACGAGAACTGTGCAAACACAGTCAGAAGTTCACTCCGCCACAGAACACAGGCTTACGTTGACAGGACAACGGGAAGACCCAGCAGAATCTCACGAAGCAATCACAGCACCGACATCCGCGATTCCGCCAGAGAGAGAGGAATGGACGACGCCGGCTTCCCAACAGGAGCTCACACAACAACAACTGCACCCACCTATTGACCCAAGACTCTTGCAGGCGGACGAGGGATGCCCCCCGAGTCAAGTCACCAACGATGACATTGTCGCAATACCCACGCCACTGCGAGACGTATCGGACGGTGCATTCGAAATGCCTGACGCAGACACGTGGCTAGACAACATGCTCATCGACAACGATGACGGGATGATGCTGGAGTTGGCACACGATGACTCATCTCCGTCGACGTCTCTGGCCAGCGAACCGCACACGACGGCGCAAAAGATCTTTAAAGGCTGTAAATGCGATGCACATCAACACATCTACGACGACTGGCCGACTCACGGTGCCGAGCTGACAATCGCGAAATGTATGACAGTATGCGTATACTGTGGAGTGGACTACCGGGCGGCCTCGAGACTGCGAATACATCTCAAGGGGCAGCAGCACGCACAAAACAACCTCAGCGTCGTCCTGGAAACGAAGGGAAGAGGGAGCTCTAATACGCCGTCTTGGACGCTCAAGCCTTGTACGGAAGACGCCAACTCCACTCGAATTACCCGCACAGCACGCGCCTCAAGCAGAACGAACGTCGTCGTCCATCAATGATAGGACGACAGATCCTTCGCGTCTTACAGTACAATGTCAACAAATCGAAAGATGTCGTCCTTGCCAGTCTCTTCCAAGACCGCGGAGTCGTGGATTTTGATGTGATAGCCATCCAAGAGCCGTGGCGTAATCCGTTCATGGCGACTTCCTACCACCCATTGAAAGCACACTTCCAGCTGACGTATCTGGACGACAAGGAAACCCGGGTATGCTTCTATATCAACAAGCGAATCGACGCCAGCACGTGGAATGTAACATGTGTCTCCAAAGACATCATTGCCCTGGAGATCATCCACCCCGTCCTCCAGCACAAACTCTCGATCATCAATGTTTACAATGAAGTTGGGACTAGTACACTCGCCGACCTGCGGGAGACCATCACGACGCTACATGACGATCACCAGATCATGCTCGTCGGTGACTTTAACCTCCACCATCCTCTCTGGTCGACCCGGCACCATTTGGACAATCGCGGCATCGCTCTATGTCAGCCTCTCCTCAACATCATTGAGGACTTCCAGCTTCACCTTCTCACAGTGCCGGGAACCCCGACGTACCGATGGAAGGACGGGGAAACGACAATTGACCTGACATTCGGTAGTGAGGAAGTCACTGCACGCACAATCTACTGCCGCGTCGACACCAGTCGAGATCACGACTCAGATCACATGCCTATCTCCACGGCCTTCACCTGGGATTGGCAAACCGCCGCCCTCGTCAGGAAACGTGTTTGGGCAAAGACAAACGCGGCACAACTCCGCCAAACCGTCAAAGAACAGCTTCCCCGGACGGTGGACGCCACTGGCCTCGAAAGCAAGCACCAAATCGATGAGCACGTCGACTTAATCATCAACGCGCTGCATATGGGCATCGATGCCTCTACCCCCTGGTCCGACCCATCACCACGTTCCATACCTGGGTTCGGCCCTGAATGCAACGATATCTGCCGTGAAGTCCAACAACTTCGCCGCAGGTGGCAACGGACGCGCCTCGACGAGGATTTCGAGGCCTACCGAGTGGCCCGTAATAAAAAGGGCCGACGTATTCAGAAGAGCCTTCGGAGCACCCATCGGCAGCGCGTAGAGGAATCGTCCAGCTCAAAGTCAGGGCTGTGGAAACTGGTCAGGTGGGCGAAGAACAGACACAATGTTGCACCTACGTGCACCCCGTCGCTGAAACGGCCCGGTGGAGGACTTGCTCGACAAGCGCAGGACAAGGCGGACACGCTACGCGAAGCGTTCTTCCCACCACCGCTGAGAGCTGATCTGGCAGACATTGACGGAGCGGTGTACCCCCCGCCCATCGAGTGCCCGGGGATCACACTCCATGAGATTGAACGAGCCATCCGCAGGGCCGCTCCCAATAAGGCCCCAGGCACGGATGAGATCCCGAACAACATTCTCCACCAGACGCTTGATCTCATCCTGCCCAACCTTCACGGACTGTTCAACGCGTGCCTCCGGCAAGGATATTGTCCAACGCACTTCAGGCAGAGTATTACGGTGGTCCTCCGAAAACCGGGAAAGGACGACTACACCGAACCCAAGTCATACCGACCCATCGCTCTCCTCAACACACTTGGGAAGGCGTTGGAAGCTGTCGTTGCGAGTCGGTTGGCCTATCTGGCGGATACATACGGTCTCCTTCCCAATCGACACACAGGAGGCCGAAAGCTGGTATCGACAGACCACGCCATACATCTTCTCCTCCAACGCATACACCGAGCTTGGTCAGAGGGCAAGGTGGCCTCACTACTCCTGCTGGATGTGTCAGGAGCCTTCGACAACGTTTCTCGACCGCGATTGTTACATAACCTCCGAAAGCGACAGATCAATCATACGCTGGTGCGATGGATCGAGTCCTTTCTCAGCAATCGATCAACAACGCTCAAGCTTCAAGAATACACGACGCCCTCGACACCCGTCGAGACGGGAATTCCTCAAGGATCTCCCCTCTCGCCAATCCTGTACCTCTTTTACAATGCTGACCTGATCGACGCATGTAATGCTGAAAACACCGAGGGCACGGGATATATT